GTATTGGATGTTTCGTCATATTTCAGATATCCCCTAATCTAACCTACAAAAGATGTTGTCTGCAACCAATCCAGTACGTGTCCTGCATTATTCAAATATTCAAAGTTGGACCCAGAGACTGCTTCAGACGGTGTTTCGCTCTGATAATCTCTTCTCTATTGGTCGGCAAGTCTATTCTATACAGAAAATAACCACGTGAGAAAAAAAACCCTTTTACAGAAAGACCTAGAAAGAGGATTCTAAAAGAAGGCAAATCTAATGTGTTCGTTTCTCTTGTGCTCATCTTTGCATTTCTCGCGCATCTTCATTCGCTCTTAATAGAAGTGAACTGATAAAATGTAGATACGATGAATCTCGTGAGATAACATTTTTATGGGGACCTTCATTTCGAATGAAAGTGCATGAAAATCGTTGTACTGCAGCCGTTTAGCTTTTATATGATATTCATGTCGACGCAGTCCACGAGTCTTCCTCCCTCGTTTCCGGTAAAAACGTGCTGAGCTTTCGTCCATCAAAGCTGGGCGTCATTCTTGTAAAAGTCTCACGTCAACACTAAAGCAAGAACACTATCCGGCTTCACGTACTTTCATTCGAAATGAAGGTCCCCCTAACAATGATAAAATGTAGCACCCATTACAAGACCAGGAAATGAAACTTATCTTCGTAGATATTTAGCAAAAATAATCACCTAATCGATTGATGACGAAGTAACGTCTGAGAATGTGCCAAATCTACAGCCATATGCTGGCAATCCTCCGACGTAGGGCATAGGACTAAGTACGTTCTGCAAGGGTTGCCTGTCGTTCCGACCAAGTTGATAAAACGAGGTTAAACCAACGAGAAACAAAAAGGGACCCTCAAACCAACAATTCCTCGTTGATCCCGTTAAAGACCCGCTCTAACGACGGGCAATGAGCTTCATGTGACATTCCACTTGATCCAGCCGCATGCATTTGCATCAATTGCCCAGCCCTTTCGGAGGCATCCGAAGCGCCGAATCCGCAATCTGGCCAACGTTGTCCGGCCGGAGGGTGGCTAGTCCATCTTTGGTGCTAGCTTGCGTCGGGGTCACCGGTCTCGTGAAATAAAATGGCCGACTCGACGCGAAGCGGCCCACCATAGGTCACGTTACGCTGGCTATTGATCGGTTCTGTCATTTGAGGGAGCCCTCGAATGATTGGCCAGTTTGGCAAAGCCACCGCTTGTGACGATTGGACGGAGGCTGGCATGGTTATCGATCGGTGAGGTCAAAACCGGCCAGGGCCGTAATGGCGGCTGTAAAACGCTGGGCCCAAAGTCTGGCTGACCTCTGATATTTGCCAATCCTCCCGGCTTGATGGAGTCACGTCAGAAAAACGCCACCGTCGCTGTTCACTGCAGGCAGGCCCGGCCTCGTGTCTACGCCCCGCCAGGCCGCCGGACGCATAGCCTCGCCCCGGCCAGCACCACATACCGCCTCGACTTTGCCTTTCTCCTCTCTCCCTGCTATTCTCCAATCTCTTCTACCTCTCTCTCCCTCCAATATATCCTTTGCTAGCTCTCTCTTCCTTTCTACTTAAACCTCTCGTCTGCTTTCTCCACGCCCGACAGGTCAAATCGACGGATCCTAATCGGACAGCTATTCACTTTCACGCCTCATTTATGCACACAGGCGGTCACAATCACCGATCACACACATACAAGATAGACACAAGACAAGCTTAAATGCATGCACTCAAGCCTTTGAACACACACACACACACACACACACATACATACATACGGATGTTCTACGGTGCCAACAACGTTTATTTAGACGTTGTTAAACATACGGGCAAACATTGCCCCCATACCCATTCTGTGCTCACGCGTTCACGCACTCTCGTCTCGGTGACCCATAAAAGGCCAACGCTTTTCACACTCCCTTTCCGGAAAAGGGACTCGCTTCCGGCCCAGTCTTCGGTCGAGTGGGAGGCTCAAATCCATCCAGTGAAACTGGACTCTCTTAGCTTAACTAGCTAAACAAAGTCGCTTAGACTTTATTTAATGGATTAGTTGTATAGGTTTTATTGGCTGTACATGTCGGAGAGTTTGGAAAGTGGAGATAGCAAGGAAAGTGAAGATAGGCTGGCTACATGGAGATGGTTGGTATTGTGCACATGTACTGTGCATGGTGTGCACAGGTCGATATATTGGATATGGTTGATAGGGTGGATGTTTACGATGAAATTGTTGAATTTTGTGTATATGACGACTATGGTGGGTATGGTGATTTTGGTCGGCATGTTTGAATTGTGAGAATTGTAGATATTGTAGATATGGTGACTGGCGGAATAGGATAGATAGAATAGACAGTGTGAATGGGGTGGGTAAGTTTGATATGAAGGTTTTAGTTGATAGGGTGAATGGAGAAGATAAGGTGTTCGAAGGAAACATGGTTAATCGAGTAAATAGGTTGGTCAACGTAGATGGGATAAGAGGATAGCTCAGGTTTGCCACACTTGTGATTTTCTCATGACTCCTCACCTCGTCACTTGACAGTCTCCTCTGTTGGCCTGAATTGCGGACTCGAACTCGCCTCACCATATCTTTAATGCCTTATCGGGACTCGAAACCGGGTCGTAGGCATCCCGGCGACACGCCGCCAGTGCACTGCACACTTTCGAATGCCAGTGGGTTCCAGATCAATCTCGACTTTCCCGGCAAAACATACCCTCCACAGATCCCATAGTGAGATTTCAAGTAAAGAGGACAAGTTTTTTAAGAATATTCAAATTCGTTAATAATATTGTGGAGGTCTACTTATGGGATTTTTGGGAAACCTAAAGCATCAGTCCTTAAATCACTTTCAAATGCTTATGGTGACTAATTTCTCTCTTTTGTAAATTCATTTTTTACTTTCCCATAAAATGAGGTTTAAGTATGGGATCAGGTTTGTCACCAATTTCAGCCGATAATTACATAACTCAATTTGAAGAACGCTTAATTCAGGAGGCACCTTTAGTTCCTAAATTATTGGTTCGCTATACGGACAACTACTTTGCTATCTGGCAACATGGAAAAGAAAACATGGGGAATTTTCTTGTTTTGATGAACAGGATCGAGGAGAAGAAAATGAAGGTGGTTAACCTTTTCTTGATGTCCTAGTTAGCAAAGGAGGACCAGATTAGGTCTAGATGTGTATAGGAAACCCACAAATGTAGGTCTCCTCTTGAATTTCTTCTCCAACCAAACCTATGTGGTTAAAGTAGGCGTTATGAAGTCTATGATAATTGGGAGCCTGCGTCTGGCAATGTCAAACATCGAGACTAGGAACTAAAGAGACTAAGACGAATTCTGCTTGA